GGGAGGAAATGTGTGACAGTCATGGCCGTGGTCGCCTTGTTGCCTCTCTTTACGCGGCCGTGCTTGCTCAGGCCGATGTAGAAGCCCTTGTAAACAAAAGACTCGTAGGCGTTGTAGTTGTTCGGCAGCAACGTCTCCTTGAACTTGCATTCGTCTTTGAAGACTCTCTAGAGAGGAGAGGAAGAAATGTTTCAGCGAATGTCACAACGCGGATGCTTTTTTTCTTTTTTTCTGATATTAAGTCTGATTAATTTTTTTTTTTATTTCTTAATTTATAACATATTAAGTCTGATTAATTTTTTTTTTTATTTCTTAATTTATAACATTTCAAAAAAGGCGCATCTGTTCATTTATTTAAAGGCACTCCCTCAGAGATGCATATCCTTGTTTAAGATCAGAAATTTTAAAAGAAGTCAGCCAACATATTAGAGAGATAATGGTGGACCCCCACATGTCTGCTAAAATCTCCTGATGCTATGACAACTATATACTAGTATAAATAGCTTGGGAAAGTCCAGCTGTCTCAATTTTTAGAGAGGAGACAGGTTGGACAAGTTTCCATTTGAAATGTGTTGAATCGACTTCAAAACGACAGCATAGCACCTCGCTAGATGCTGTTTGCAGAGATTTATTATCTGCAGTGAATCACAGCCTGTACCAGCATGGGTTGAAAATCCACTCTGGGAGGAAGAAGCCATTATTCCAAATGCTAAATAAAAACAGTCAAGTTTGAAAAACGCTCAGGGACAAATGCTGCATTTGATTTGTCTAAAAAGTTGTAGCTCAGAGCTGGAAATTGTGTCTGTTTTGGTCCTGATTAATGATACAAATAAATAAAGTAATAAAGTAATTATCTCTAATTTTTTTTTTTTTTTACACACAAAAGAAATGACCATGTGGGCCACTTGGTTTATCGATTTAAACTCTAAGAATTGGCAGATTGCTGGTTCAGACCTATTGGGGTCCGTCTTCTGGATTGCTCTAGGACTTTTCCATTCCGCCTTCAGTGGGGGTTGTCATTTTTAAGACGGGGACACTAAAAATAATTTCACTTCCAAGAAAAAAAAGCAGCTTGTGCCTTTCTCCAAATGATCAGCTCCTCAGGTTCTCTTTAGAAGGAAAAGGGCTGAATTCTAGCAAACTGATATAAGAACCTTCTTGCAAGATTTCCAAAACATTTGACCAAAGTTATAGACTTTATCCTACCATATACTGAGGTTTAATCAGCTTTAGTGTCAGAATGTGTATGTTAATAACAGGTTTTAATATATATGGGGCTCAGGTGTTTATTGCAGTGAACAGATTTTCAGACAAAGTGCTGTGAAGTAAACAAGGAGGAATGTTGTTGGAAAAGAGACGCATTTCAGTAATAAGGATTCATCGTGCTCCCGTATCTGATCTTATAAGGCTGTCTCTGGTCATTTGGTGCAACCTGAACTAACAAATCCCATAGATAACAATGGTACGAATGAAAATCACTAAACAACAATCATTATTTGACTCTTTTTTTAAATAACGTAGCTTTTGACAGTGGAGATAAATGTATTTTTGTTTGTTAATCTGAGAGAAAAGTATAATATTTGCTTAAAGTGCCTTGCAAGAATATTCATATCCCTTTAACCTTTTCTCTTTTTCCATATTACAATCAAAAACAGCATTTTTGTCGGGGTTTTGGTTCTGTTTAAGTTTTAAATCTGAGTTTCCATTGGTCTTACTTCCATTTTTGTGTTGTAGTTATTTTTGATTGTTTTTGAGTTCTTAGATATTTCCTGTTTGCCCTCTTGTGTCGTTCTCCTTTCCCCAACTCCCTTCCTGCCTCTGTTCACACCTGCTCCCAATCTGCTAATTAGTCTGGTCTTTGTTTCTCTCTCCCATATGTTCTCCTCCTGTTTAGTCACTCTTTGCTGGTTTGTCGTTATTTCTTTGCCCCCTTTTGTAAGTATTTTGTGGATTTATGTTTTGGATTTTTGCCTCTGTTGAATGTTTTCGTTAATAAAAATACAAGTAAACCCCTTCAGCTTCAGTCTGCATTTGGGTCCTCCTGTAAAACCTCCACCCCACTTGACAATTTTAAGGAGATTTCCTCTAATAAGCAGACAGCAGGGCAACATTTCTGAATACAATTCTGAAAAGCACAGTTTGTGATTTTATTTAGCATCCTTTAGTATGACACCCCAAAATGATATCACACATAAACCTGAGAATACTACCCCTCGGTAAAACATGGTGGTGGCAGCATCATGGTGTGTGATGTTACAGCAGAAGATGCATAGAGCTGAAATTAAGGCTATTCTTGAAGAAGGTGGGATTGAAAAACAACCTCAGATTAAGGAGGAGGTTCATCTAGCTGCAGAAAAACTGCCTTAAACATTCATGCAGTTGATGGGCGATGGTTAGATCATGACCAAGACCAGACCGACTAGAGTCTTTGATAAGTTCAAAAACTATCTCCAATCTGACTGAAAGGAATCACCAAGCATTTCTGTTTCTAGTTAGAAAGATGGATGAGACCTTGCCCAAAGGACCTGCAGCTAGAATTACAATAACTTGTTCCACAAATACAAGTACACAACATTTCAGATTCTCCATTTGGAACAATTTCAGAAACCCAGCAGCATTTTTCCCTATCCTGTATTTAAGTGTTGCTTCATGTTGGTATATTGCATAAAATTCCTCAATATATGCACAAAATCTTGTTCACTGTTTACTTTTCCAAGGAGGATCAGAAACGCTGTGGCTATTTTACTATAGACGCTTTTAAGACAAACTGCAGAAATACTGAACCTTAACAATGTAGATGTACAAAAACCCTCAACTAGTATCTCAGTTTTATAAAAAAAAAAAAAAACATTAACCAACTAATGCAAAAAGGCAACATTTTTAATCTGATTTTTTTTTTTATTTGAAAATATCTTGTTGTTAACCATTCAATAAATATATACCCATGTAGATTTATTTTCATTCCAGAAAATTAAAACCATGAATAAGCAGTTTGCTGGTGCATTTTCTTAAAGGCTGAAAAGAGACAATAATCCACTCGCCCAATGTTAACATTGAAGCTACACTGATTTAATAGCTTAATTCATCACACATATGTAAAATAGCTGTGATTTATGGCCCTTTTAATAATAAATGTTATTTTTAAATATCTAACAATGTGATATTGATGACTACAGTCACTCAGTTGAAGGTTAGTCCATTTGTTTTTCTAAGATATATAATATTAAACTTAATTTGCAGCAATCAACTTTTGTAAACATTACAAACGATGCAAACATATGAATGAAGAGATTAGAGTTTGATTCACTTTTATAAGCTTAATCGCATTTATTTAACATTTTTAAAGCAGCAGGCTAATCCCCCCCATGTCAAACTTTTGCATTTTTGAATAAATATTTAAAATAACTTGGTAAAATGTCCAAGTGTTAAATATATTTTATGCAAATGCAAAATAAAAATGCAAAAAAACGTTAGGTTGTGACTGTGGCTATGATATTATACTCCAAGCTTTATATTTCAAGTTGATTTGTGACAACAAACATACCACACCAGTTCAATTAAATGTCTATAAACATACCATGTGACTGTTAAATTAAGTAATACAATAATTATTAAATGTGATATTTGTAGCAGAGGCTGTATAGAGCTGTGACCTGTCCCCCTCCTCTCATCAGGGTATATTAATAACACAACAGCCCTCATAAAGCAGTGGATGCAGCAGCAGCAGCTCTGTTGAACTCCAGAGTTGCGCCACTGTAACCTACCGTTCCGTACAACCTTCCTCTGCTGTTCATTGCGACAAACAGCTGACTCCTCACCCCGAACAGACTGATCACTCCTCGGTCCACGGTGGAGATCTCTATCAGACCTGAATGAGACATAATGTGACAGAGAGGCAGAGTCAGTGCGACGCTGCGCTTTGGGACAAGTTTCAGTGGCCTATGCAGCAGTGATGGGTGTAGCCTTGCAGGTGCACTGCGACTTGGATGATGCTCCGTTATGTGTGCAGCAATCAGCTATCTGCATGTTAGACATTGTGGTTGGTTTACAGCGCGCTGGGAGGAATATGAGTGCCCCACAGCAGGGTAAAAATAAGTCCGCGTCATGCATTCGTGTCGTGTTTTTGGATGCACCGTTGCACGGCTCGGTACACTGTGTTTGCCTTTGGAAACTTTCAACCCATGCTGCGCTACTTAAATATCATGCAGGACCGGATCTAACTTTTAAAGATACACTCTCTTTGGATTCCAATGCATTTTTATTTTTATTTTTTTGCAGGATGCAACTCACTGTATGGGTTCTCACTGTGCACACCGCTTATCCTGCCATCAGGGAGCACCTGCAGGTGAAACCCAATGCCCACGTTGCAGTACAGCCGCCGCACTCTTTTGATGCCCTGCAAGTAGTCGCTCTGCCAGTTCAGCTGCGATCTGTCCCCATTTATACCCAGGTAGGAGCGGGAGAAAAGGGTCTCCCACTTCCTTTCTAACAAAGTAGCATTAGTCCTGTGTGGGATCGGAAAAGAGGAAGCGATTGCCCACAGAGAAGTCCACAAAACAATAACTGCTGGCAAAGTCCAGTGCGTCCTGGCCCCGCTGCGCATGCTGTAGTGACACCTTTGCGCAAAGGCCATCCAGTTTACCTTTGGGGCACCTGGTTAAAGTTACCTGCCCTGAAAAAGCAACTCTTCTTATCTTCTGTCCTTTGGCATATTGGCTGTGAAGGGTTAGAGTTTTTGGGTCAATGTAGATCAGGGCCCCATGGCCCGAGATCTGAACAAGTGGAGAACAGAAGGCGTCGCAACTTGGATTGGTGCCGGTGGCGATGACCATCTTTCGCCGCTCCACGCCTCTGTACAGACAACGCTTGCCGTGGAGGGGGCGGCACCACTCACTGCAAGACCAGCTCACCTTGCCCCCTACTCCCTCACCTCCTCAAATGACATCACTGTGACTTCACCGCTGCACGCAGCCCCCCATTACAAGAGGGGAGAGGGAGGAGGAGAGAGCCTGTGGACCCCAGCAGCACCAGCAGGTCTGATACCACTGATGGGGGGGACTGCACCTTCACACCAGCCTCAGGAAAGTAAGATGGACTTAAAGCAAGAGTTTCCTTTAAAAGCTTTTCAAAATAAAACATTACATCAATGACTATGCAAATACCAAATCAGGCATCTAAACACACAAAAAAAAAACCCTTATACATAGTTCTACTGTTTTAGCTACTGTTTTTACAGTTTCAGGTGAACAATCAAATTTAAAAAGCAAACAGGAAGAACCTGAATAAATAATAAAAATAATAAAAAACAATATTTAAGATACTAAATCCAACCTGGCTCTATGTGAAAAAAGTGACTAAACTCAAAATACTCAAAAATTGTACTTGAGTATAAAAACACAATTTTATCATACTTTTACTCAAGGAAGAATAAAAAGTAGCAATCCAAAAAATTACTCCAAGAGAGTAAAAAGTCTTAAAATCTGATGTTTAAGACATGTAATAATAAAGATATGAGGAAATTCTAGTATTTTACGAGCTATAATAAAAAAATATAATATATAACAATCCCAGAACGAAAGAAACACTTTTCTAAACCATAAAATTTACGAAACAAGCACCTCTTGTGACAACATTAAGTGTCAGGGCTATCATTGTAGGCTGGATTAAGCTAGTTTTCTAAAATAGAACACTGCTGCATTATTTTTATTTTAAAGGTTTTTAAAAACTTTTGAAAACTGCTTGTAAAAGTCCCATACCTGGAAATCTGAAGTTCTATATCTGTTCTAAACAGAAACACTGCAAGCAAGCTGGCTGAGGCCCAAACAGCGCTGAAATATTAAACTGATATTTTGCCATTCAAAAATTGATATCTAGTGAAGACTTTAACTTATCATTAAAATTGTTGTTTAAATCTGTGATTTTATTTTGAATTGGAACTAACCTGTCTTTTTAGTCTTCCTCGGTATAACAAGGCTAACTTGATGGAGATTTTCCTCACATGGGAAACCTTCAGTGTGTGTGAGTGTTTGTGTGTAACCCATAGAGAGACAGAGAGAGGGAGGGAGACTTTGGCTTTTATTGGCATAGAGCAGGCATATGATAGATGGATGGATACTGTGTCCAGGGCCCAAATTGGGACGGTGGTCATATGTCCTGGCAGCCTGCATCCTTATTTAGAAGGAGGTGTAAAAACAGTCTCGGGGGAGCAAATGGCAATCCTGTCTGACACTTCCCTCGCTGTTTGTCCAGGAAGTTTACACAACCAAAATATTCCACCAGGTCAGATTGCGCATTGTTATTATTGTTATTATTATTATTGTAACTAACACACTCTCCACTGCATAAATAGCATCTGCGTGGATCAAATTCACGGCATACTTTTGTGTGGAGATCTTGAAATAATGCCAATATTGGATTTATAAACAGAGATACACCAGTAGAACGACCATTTATGCAAAATCAAAACAGAGAAACATAAACCATATATTTATTTATTTATCAAAGTCCCTTTGATAATAGATTTGTTTAGTATGGCTATACTTGTTATATTTGGGTCTGTTACACCTTATTATTGAAGGAAATAGTTGTGAATGTTACAAGTTCATTTAACATATAAATGCTCTTCTTAAAGTATAAGAAAAATCTAATCTAAATTGAAATACAATTGTAGAAAATGCCTTTATATACACATACATGAACAAACTTTTCTTTTTTAGGTCCTTGTTTGCATGTCACAGATTGATAAACTATTGGAGTCTTAAAGCCGTACAGATGCTACAAGGTTCTATATTTAACTGGAAGAAGGCATTTGATAATGAACTTAAAAACAGGGGTTTAATTGCTTAATTAATAAAAACAGTAAGTTTGACAGGGGCGGGTAGTAATTATCTACATCTACTCAGTTACATTTACCTGATTATCAGTTAGAGGAAAAGTTTTTTTGCTACTGCTACTCTTGTAAAGGTTCCACTGTAACTTAAGCTGAACAGAGATCAGGTAAAACACAATGAACGATAGATATTGGTAGTGGAAATTCCTTACCTTCTAACAGATGTGTAAACCTCATTCCAAGGAGTGGAAATTTTTTTTATTCGTCGGGAATTTGCATTTTTGTAATATTGTAATTTATTTGTACAATTTTAATTTCTTTTAGTCTTTAAGATGTTAAGAGAATAAAAACAACATTAAACAGAAGGGGTGAACTCAGGTTCAGTTCTCAAAAACCTACAACGCAGCGATAAAATTGATTCCTTCCCGCTATCATCTAAATCCTTATCCCCATGCAGAGCACCAAAACATCTCATCTGTATAGCCAGGCCAACTACGACCCTAATGACTCCTTTTTCAGAGGCATGGGCCAGTATCGGGTTTTGGAGGCCAACAACTCCTTCAACGACTCTCCATTCCTAAGGGGCGGACCTGTTTTTTCGATTTAGTTTGTATGTTTTCTAAGCCACAGCAGGGCTTTTGTTTGGGCCACCCTATAAGCCTGGAACTTGGAAAACTTTTTTACTTTATTTGGAATTTAGTCTTTAAAACACTATAGCTTTCACATAACATCTGTTTGACTGCAGAATTTCTAAACAATAAATCAGCTGTGTCATGATGTTTTTAAGGAAACCACTCAGAGAACCAGAGTAAAAGTTTAACAGCTTTATTGGAATAATCAATATAGTTGATCCAGGGTAACTCAGAGAGCTGGTGAACTGGAACTGGAAGTGAGAAGGGAAGTTCAGAGGTTAGTTCAGGGTCCGTGGGAACTTTGAATAACGTCTTGCAAAAATCAGAGATGAACGGCACTCACGTTAGCAGAAAAAGGTTCTCTTCCCAGAATCCAGTCTGTGTGGGTTTATCCAGAGATTCGGGGGCTCGTTGGAGGGCGGACAGGTTTTTGGTTTGGTTGGTTCTTTGAGGAGTAATGGAGCGGACTACCACTTAGATTTCCAGGAGAACTTGAACGGGTCATGTGGAGATTAATCCCCTGCTCAGTGTGAAGCTCAAAACAATCCTTCCAGGGGGAGAAGGCCAAAAATCCAATTTGCAGGATGACTTCTCAAAACTGGCAAACACTCTGGCGACGAGCTAGTGGCAGTCCACCGCTTGAGAGTCCTCAGTAATGAGCACAACCAGCCGCCGGTGTGTGGGAGGACCAACGAGAACAGGGCGCCACCTGGTGGTGGAGGTAGAGAACACAAATAACAAACAGCCCACACACAATGGATTCCTAACAAGATGATATTATATTAATTATATATTAATTGAGTTGCCTTTTTATTAAATACTTTTTCACTCTTACCTGAGTAATTTCTTGGATAAATACTTTTTACTTTTATTTTAAATAAAATATATGTTAAAGTAGTGCTACTCCTACTTGAGTACAATTTTTGTTAAGAAATGCATGTACTGATATACAGTGGTTAGTTTCCATCAAATATATATACTTTTGTTCCAACTGTGGAAAGAAAATGAATAATGAATTTAATGTAGGTGTATTTTCTACAGCAGACGTTAAATTTTAAAACCTCAGATCACTTATTGTCCTTATTTGTAAAACCCTACACATTTCTAGATAATGGGTGCTTGAGTTCTTTTATTCCCTAAGGGGTAGACTGTCAGCTCACACTGAGCAGCAAATTAATGAGACAGGCTTTTGAGTTGCTGTATAAGCACATGCTATGCTAACCAAGGCAACCAATAGTCTGAATAGACAAAAGTACTGGGTTATTGACAGGCTGGAACCTAAATCAATGGAAAGTGTGGCCCGTTAATGAGACGGTGCTGAGCTCTTCAGATTAACTCGGCTAATACTGGGGTGATGCTGATGCTGCTCTTAGGTCATGACTACTTTCAATAATTAAAAGAAGGCCAATTAGCAATACATAGACTCTTATCGAACTAGACATTAATAAAAAAATTGCATACTGTACACACTTTATGAAACTCATATACAATATCGTCAGTGATAAATCGAGGTTACTATAATAAGACCTTTATCATAGCATATGTAAAAACATTGCTCTAATTGATTATATATTTAAAAAGTAAATTTTTAGCAATAAAATTAAGTTATATCAAGAACTATTTGTTCTATCCTTAAACCCTATTTCTCATCAATTTAAATTAATAAAAAAGAAAAGACAATTATTTCCCTAAAACATGCTATAAGTTGTTAAATGAAGTGAGACACTCATTAGAAGCATAATAATTATTAACTTCTGATCTAGGATGAACATCTGCTTTAAAGATGATGAAAAATGTTTCAAGTAAGAAAACATTTGTTGTCTTTTGAAGGTGTCTACTAAATTTTTCTTTAGAAATTAATTTTATTTCACTTTAAAAATTCACTTTATATGTTTTGCTTAATACATAATCGGATCATCTTTTTAGAGAAATGTTTAACACGTTCTTTCTGTGTTTGCATGGTGGTTTGTGCCATGGTAAAATGTGGCTAAGAAAGCAAACATTCTTTTTGAGCATCCAGCATTCCAGATTGTGGCATAAAGTTAAATATAGAAATTATCAGTCATCTACCTGTGATACTGGGGATGGTATTATATTAACAAAATTATTAAACACTACTTGAGTCACAATTAGAGTCTCATCTCTGACCTGTTGCACCGGTGTTGTGTTAAGGTAGGTTTACAGAGGGAACTTGTTCCTCTTTATTTATAGTGCAGCTTTTGCAGGGGGAGTCTTTTTTTAATACTTTCTTTCTTACTTTATGTCTTAACATCTACCCACCGGGATAGAACGAACAGCACTTTAAGGTAATATCCATTTTTCTTCTGCTCAGACACTCGGCCTAGAACCTTACTGCGGCCAGAATCAGGTAAATAAAACAAGAAAATTCTCCTCTATGATGTATGAACCTGAAGCATCAGTTACTAGATATGTGTAAATGTGTTTTAATAAGGTTTTAAACAATAGACCTCTATGTAAAAAGATTTATATCAGAGTTTGATTTCATATTTATATACTGGTTAAAAAAAATTATTATAATTTTATAGTAAAGTTAACAGAATACGTTTAAGGAATTCAATTTCTTTCAGAATTATTTCATCCAGACAGAACACTAGTTTTAAAAC